TCAAACTACATAGAGAAATGCATAATGATAAGTGAAACTAGTTGAAAGGGAAACCAATGAAAATTCGGTCTTAAGCGTACCTCTTCGTATCCTAGCAATGTTTTCTTTCCATGTTCATCTCCAAAAACAACCTGAGAACCATTCTTGTATTCAAACTTGACAGCTCCAACACCATCTTGTCCTTGTCCTACATAAACTTTTTTAACATCATCGTGAGCACCATCGTCCCATACAGCTCCAGTCTCACCACCTTCTGCGGTCAGCTTCTTCGCAGGGACTGTAGGAGTAGTGGTGGAAGATTTTGGAACGAAATAAGCTCCAATGGAATTGAGATGGGTGCTGGCGAAACCGTGAAATCCACTGATCTTCTTGTCTGGAACTTGGAGAGTAAATTTAGTACCACTACCATCAAATTCATACCCGATGAACTCAGAAGTTTTCAAGTTGGTTTTGAATTGGATTCCTAGGATGACGGAATCATACCAACCCTCAACGGAAACAAGATATTCATCCGGATGGTTAATCAAAATCTGCCCAAAAAATGGATTCACAATGTCAGTAGTCTTCCAGAAATAGTTGTAAACCTTGGAAGAAAGTTGTTAGCTTATTACCTCTGTTGTTGAACCTCTACTTTGTTGACCGTGTAGGGCACTTTCTTTTTTTTGTCCATCTTTCACATAGTCAAACTTGACGTATTGAATACCCTCCCCACCGGATCTTACGTATATTTTTGTTAGGCCATCGTAATTGGATCCATCGTCCCAAGCTGTGCCTCCTGTACTGCCTTGTGCATCCAATTTCTGGGCACCTGAACCGGTGCCAGTTCCTCCGGTGCCACTCCCTCCGGTGCCAGTTCCTCCGGTGCCACCAGTTCCTCCGGTGCCACTCCCTCCGGTACCAGTTCCTCCGGTGCTACCAGTTCCTCCGGTACCAGTTCCTCCGGTGCCACCAGTTCCTCCGCTGCCACCAGTTCCTCCGGTGCCACCAGTTCCTCCGGTGCCAGTTCCTCCGGTGCCATCAGTTCCTCCGGTGCCACTCCCTCCGGTACCAGTTCCTCCGGTGCCACTCCCTCCGGTACCAGTTCCTCCGGTGCCACTCCCTCCGGTACCAGTTCCTCCGGTGCCAGTTCCTCCTGAGCCGGTTCCGGTGGGTATGGGAGCGTAGTGAACGTCGATGGTGTTGAGAACATTGCCGCTGGTGCCAAGGAAACCGGCGATCTGTTTACCGGTGGCCTCAGGAGCAGAAATCTGGAAACCAGATTTGTTACCGTAAGGTCCATAAGACCCCTTGTTGGTTGTGAAAGTCAACGCCGTAATAACTTCTTGCGTAGCCAACGATTTGCCGTAAGCAGAAACGGCCGTTATGTACTCGTCCGGAGCCAAAGTGAACTGATTATGTATATGACATTAAAGTCAATTAACAAAAAATTACTACACATTATAATTGTAAACATAAGTTTGTATGTTTTCCACTAACCTCGGCAGATTTGGGCCCAACGGAGCCACGAAGCTGGGATTGAAGAGCGGTGGCTCCGTCGTACGTCACCTTGATTGAGTAAATGATGTCATCGAACGTTAGCTCCACTTTCTTCACCTTTGCGTGTGATCCATCGTCCCAAGACATCGTTGTTGACTTCTTTTATCGATCTGTGATTAACCAAAAGTTATTTATTATTAATTTTTTTTTTCATTTTTTGGACCATTTTAATGATTAGTACTACGAAATTAATTATGAACAGGTATACAGTAAAATTAATACTAATCCGGTTCTAGTTCTAACTCGCGTGCTCAAAGCTGGTCAATACTATCTTTATTCTTTACTGTAGTTAAACGATCAAAAAGTCAAATTGTTTATGATAACAATTGAGATATAGGAAAAGATCAATTGATTGAACCATTTTAAGAAAAGCAGATAGGTACACATAAACATACGAAACATAGATAGCCAGAGAGGGATTACCTGTTTGTAGAGAGACAATGAAGATGAAGATGAAGATGAAGATTAGGTGTGAATAAAAGAGAGGCTAATAGTGGGGGTATATATATATCGAGCTTAGTTATTATTTAATTTCAAGTTATTTTAACATTTACTACGCACCACATGGCCAATATATAAAATCATGTTGGTCCACAAAGTATATTAATAATTGTTGAAAAAAAGAAAAAAAAGTATGTAATAATTGCTCGTATCGTCACCAAATCGATAATTGCTTTCTTGCAACCTTCATACCCAAAAACTTTAACAGATGTATTTACTTTTTGTATACTTTGCGGATCGGTAATATCTTCATTTTTCACCAGTTTTATAGGAATAATATATTCGTAAATACACTGTTAAGGTTTTTTTTTAATGAAATTTTAAACTAACAAAAAAAAAAATTAATATATAGATAGAAGTATAGAACAAAAGATCATTTATGTGAAAGACTATTTGCCATATACTAATCTTTTCGAAAGGGAAATATCAAAGTTGCAATAGACAAAAGTACCTTTTAACCAAATTTAGGATGTTATATGTGTATACTTCTATGTTAACCTCTGCATATCACACTTATTTTAAACCAATCATCAATGTTACCAATTTGTTACCATCTTCATGTCAATAATTTAAACTTTTATTTTTCCGGTCCAATCAGTTGTTTTTTTTTTAAATCTGTGGATCGACATAATCCAATTCATAGTCAATCTCTACTATGCAGAGTAACACGATTTAGTGGAGTCGAACTCCGGTGGAGAAGACTGTGTCAAATAGACTTAATCACTTTACTTAAAGCATATCCCCAACCAGTTGTTATATTGATATAATTTGATGTAAAATTTTATCACACCTTATTAGAATTTTTTTTTTTAATAAATTCTAATAAGGTGTGATAAAATTTTACATCAAATTTATTATACTATACAAATTAGAATTTATTATACTATACAAATTCTATTAATATGTTATCTGATCATATAACAAGTTCAAAATTTCGACATCCATAATATATTACCGTAATTATTTAGATAATTTTGTCAAATGTTCTACAATATATTTGATGTCTCGCTATCATTCTATACGACACTCCATTTTTTGCTTTAACAAATCAAATATCGGAAAAGTTCGAAATAATTTTTCTCAGAGATATTTGTCGCCCAATTGCGCCAAATTTTGAACACCTCATTATTTACGTTTTTGCCACTTTGGTACGTTTTCCTAAATTAGTTTGGCAAGTGATCTATGTCTTTTTTGTTTCTTTTTTCTGGTCAAACAACGGCAAGTGATCTTTTAAAAAAAAATCAAAATGATCTTGATTGATGACAACAAAATAACTGAGATGACTGAAAATGGCTTGATCGTTGATATATACACTATAGCCTCAGTGAACTTTGTTGTCTTCGATATATCTATTGTTAGTTAGAACTTAGAATGATCATACTTTGGGACAATTAGAAATTCCACATAAAAATCATGACCGAATTCTTATTTACCTTTTTTACTTTTTTGATAGGATTAACAAAATTTTAATGAGTGTATCCGATTTTTAAAAATAGGATTAACATAACCGAAGAATTATGTGGTTAGAGGATGGAATTAAATTTTAATGCAACGCTCTTTGATCTATCATTTCCTTAAATATTTAAAAAATTGATCGTGCATCGCATGGCTAATTAAAAATAGGAATATCAATATAGAGTTTGCTGTCACAATCTTGTTATTTTATTTCCGTATCGTTAGATCATCGATCGATCCTTATAGAAAATTGTATTAATCTACTCCTGATATATACTAGTTTGAAACTTTGAATTATTCAGTAGCTACGTTGGACGTCTATACTTTTTTTTTTCTTCTTACAGGACCAAGGAAATTAACGAACAAATCACGTGTTCGAATGTATTTGTTCTCTAATCTCAACCTTTACAGTAACACATCTAATTGGATAGAACATTCTTAGACCATCTCCAATGTATTTTCCTATTTTTAGCTCTATCTGTATAATAGAGATAAGTTTTCTATTTTTACTCTAATGTGTTTCTCTATTTTTTCTTCTAAAAAGTTTTAACTCTATTTATAGGGAAAAAATAGAGATTCTCTATTCTCACCTCTATATATAGAGAAAAAACTAGAGATTTCTATTTTAGAGGTAAGAATAAAGGTGGGTTGAAGTAGATTTGTCTCTGAAATAGAGTTTAGAAGCAAATATAAAGGTGAGTTAGAGATGCTCATAAACTATTTCCTATAAATTAGTGATTAAAAAGTAGATTTGGGAATTCTTCTTAATTTCCCAAGATAGGGAAACATATTTTTGACGTTTGGCAAGGCATTAATTATATTTAAATAAAAGAAATGCGACTCGTGGTTCTCGTGGCGTTTATTTATATTAAGACAGATAACAATAATGATGACTTTTTAAAAAACTTAAAAAATACGTTATCACACTTAGAGTTTGAGCACGTCGAGCCTACCACACTTGTGAGACGTGTGTGGATCAGATCTCCTTACGCGGCTGATCCAATATAAAAATATTGTAAATCAATCAGAAAGAGGAAAACTCCAAGATTAATAAATTGCAAAATCAATTACAAAAAGGGATATATCCAAGAATCAAGATTAACATTACATGGGCTGGATTGCTAAGGCCTAAATCCCCAAATCACTAAAAGTTAGGACGGAATCTATCTCAGGCCGCTGGATTTGCCAAAGCCGAGCCGAATTAATATATTCCAACGTTCCTAAATCATGATCATTTATTAAAGGACGGTTAAGTACCATAAACTTTATTTATAGAGTGACAATCATAACAAAACACATAAATGGTCCGAACATATGTGGTCTAGTGATAGTTGGACATGAGGTAAGGCGATTCTCACTAAGATAAAAATCACATACAAATTTAATTTAGTAAGATGTTAATTTGAATACGCTAAACACACTTGCAGTACTAATATGCTAAACATACTAATAATATGCATGGAGCTTTGTTCACGATAGCACATAATGCACATAATGTGCAATTAATATGCATGGAATCAACCACTTTTATTCAAATCTATCACATGTAAACATTATATAAAGACCAACATCACAAAAGGGAACGCTTAAAAACATTTAAACATAAATAAAGATAATATATCATTATAGGTATAACAACTTATTCAAGAGATCACAATTAACAAATTCGATACAATCAAAGGAGAAAGCTGTAATTAATGTGGTCAGTTGGTGATTGGCATGACATGGACTCCAAACTGATGAAGCAACTCGCTGGCTTTTCCATGGAAGCCAATGATCTTGTGGCCTTCCTCTTTGAGCTCGAAGGCTGTGCCAGCTTCAAGTCCAAAGGGGGCAGACATTTGTTTATTAGTCTTGAACCTAAGCATAGTTATGACTACGCCATCACTCCCAAAGATTCTATCATAGGTGCCTTCAACTGCCGTGATGTATTCACTTGGATAGTCTAGCTCAAACTGCAAATAAAGGATTTCAAATCATATAGATCAATCTTTCATTATCAATTACTTTCCAGTAAAAAAAAACACAACATATTTTGAACTTTGATATAAAATAGAAAATAAGTACCTCCTCGAATCCGAGTAAAGTACGCTTTCCATGTTCACCTCCTAAAATATCCTCAGCGCCTTTGTTGTACTCAAACTTAACGGCTGATATCCCATCTTGACCTTGTCCTACGTACACCTTCTTAACACCATCGTAAGCACCATCATCCCATGCAGTTCCTTCATCCCCACCAATTGCAGACAGTTTCTTGGCAGGAGTCCCAGGAGTTGTGGTTGTAGCAAAATACGCTCCAAGAGCATGTAGAGCTTCGCCAGCACGTCCATGGAACCCAACAGGTTTGCCACCGTTTTTGTCCTTGAGTACAAACTTCTTTTCCGTTTCCAATCCATAGGGTGGAGATGTTTTCCCCTTGAATGTAGTGAAGGTTATAGATGTGATAATGTCAGAGTCTTGGCCAAATACGTTGTCGTAGGTCACTTTCACTGCTACAATGTAGTCGTCTGCATCAACTTCAAACTGCATTAATAATAGAAACATACATCTTGTGAGTAGGGATGTTGCATGTAATAGATTAACTCAATCTAGACCGTATGAGGTGTGAATTGGTCTAGTCTCAATTAGCCCACCATAACACCACTACATACCGTTTCGAATCCAAGTAACGTCTTCTTTCCATATTCACCTCCTTCAACATCCTGAGAATCCTTCGCATACACGACTTTGATAGACGACACACCATCTTGGCCTTGCCCTACATGCACCTTTCTAACGCCATCGTGCACACCATCATCCCATGAAGCTCCTCCGGTACCACCTGCTGCTTCCACTTTTTGAGCCATCTTTACGAATATGACCTGAAATTACGAATATGATTAGTTTTTAACCAAACTTTACAAAAATATTATCAGACGAGAGAAAGAGAAGTTACCTGAGAAGAGAGGGAACGAGGTATTGATGCATTACAAAGACCTGCATGTGTATTTATTGTTTTTTTTTGGGATAAAATGTGTATTTATTGAATAGAGGCCACTTATTAATTCATAGAAATATACATATTTTCTTATTATAATCTCGTGATTCACGAGTCATTAAAATATTAGATTGTTGTAAATGTGAAGCAAATGAGTTGACTGGAGTAGTTGATATTAATAATCTGATAGCTATATATATTTTTCTGCGCTAATTTATAAATAGAAAATGTCATAAAAATACAATATTTCAGAAAAAATATTAAGTTTTCACTTTTTCTATAAAAAATAGTTAACATTATGTTATCTATATTTGAAATGAGAAATATCTTAATTTATGTATTTTATTTTTAAAAACCTGTTTTAAACAACCATGTATTTAATTTATGTTTTTAAAATTCACTAGTTTTTTTCTCTCTTCTTAGCTTCAGTAAGAGACAGAAAAACAAGTTATAAATCATATGAAAGCATGATTTTGATATCCTGGTTTTTTTTTTTTTTTTTTTTTTTTTTTTTTTTTGCTCTCATAATACATGTTTTTTTAATTAACAATAGTTAGAATATATGAAACCTGGTTAGATTACCATTATCCAATTGCTCATATGGTTAAATAATGCTGAAGTCTTAAAGATGATTGTTTCCATCATAGACTAGATCCCGAGATGCCTGAGTGTGAATATAGGCTTTTCTCCTAATGTGCAACTAATATATATATATATATATATAATCACCCACCTTTATTAAAGCCAATCACATATAACATCAAAGACATAACAACTTCACAAAATACGGCATAGACACTTAAAACATATATAAATAAACAAGAAAAATTTGGTGGAACAGAAGAGAAATATGTGATGATCAGTTGGTGACTGGAAGGACATGGACTCCAAACTGATGAAGCAGCGAACTGACTTTTCCATGGAACCCGACGATCTTGGAACCTTCCTCTTTGAGTTCGAAGGCTGTGCCAGCTTCAATTCCAAAGGGAGGAGACGTTTGCTTATTAGTCTTGAACCTAAGCATATTTATGACTTCAGTCTCACTACCAAAGATTTTATCATATGTGCCTTCAACTGCTGTAATGTATTCACTTGGATAGTCAAGTTGGAACTGCAATTAGTGGAAACCAAATAAAACAATTGTGTAAGTTAAAATATTCTATATCAAATATGGAGATAATTCAACACTAGTATAAAATATATGAATTTTGCCACTTATTGCATATTGATTATGAGTTGGAAGTCTACAATTCCTCACATGCTATCAGAAACCTGTAAATTTAAAGGTATACCTGATTCTCTCCGAGATGAAAAAGCCAAAAGAATCATCATCTCGAGGAAATGTGTTAGAATTCACATGGGAAGTAACTCAACACTAATATATAGAGGACATAAACATCTTCACTCAGTTTCCAACACTGAATATATAAGTTGATGGAAACAAATCTGGTTTCATTTGTAACACGAAAATGTGGATTCCCTTACCAAGCATATATTTGTGTAAGATATTTATACTTTTTTTGTAAAATATTTTCACATCTAACCAAAAGAGCAATAAAGCAAAGCAAGTATTATACCTCTTCAAATCCGAGTAGAGTATCATTTCCATGCTCATCTCCTACAATATCCGCAGCGCCCTTGTCGTACACAAACTTTACTGCTGATATACCATCTTGGGCTTGCCCTATATACACTTTCTTAACACCATCGTAAGCACCATCATCCCATGCAGTTCCTTCGTCACCACCAACTGCTGGTAGTTTCTTGGCAGGATTCAAAGGAGTTGTGGTTGTAGTAAAATATGCTCCAAGAGCATATAGAATTTCGCCAGCGCGTCCATGGAACCCAACAAGTTTGCCACCATTTTTTTCCTTGAGTACAAACTTATTTTCGGTATCTAAGCCAAAGGGTGGAGAGGTTTTTCCCTTGAATGTAGAGAAGGTGATAGATGTAATGACCTCAGAGTCAAAGCCAAATATTTTGTCGTAGGTCACCTGCACTGCTACGATGTAGTCGTCTGCATCAACCTCAAACTGCAACAATATAAAGATACCTTTCTTGAGTAATAATTTAACTCAACCTAAAAATCGTAAAAGGTGTGAATTGGTCTAGTCCTTATCGGTTCTCATTTTAAATTTAGGTTTGGCTTGGTCTTTGTGGTATTTGCAGATCATTCTAAGGTTAGCTAGCAAATAGAAGAAAAAAACTTTAATAGATTTGGCGGGTTTGGTCTGGTATGAATGCATGAGAACAGTTTAGTCCTAAACGGAGACCAGACCTATCCCTAATTAATCTTCAGAACTGGTCGGCGAGCTATTATCCTGTCATCACGTTACATATATCCATAGTATTGACAGTTAATAATTTGAAGAAAATACAATGCAAAGTTAAGCAAACTAAAGACAAGAATGGATCCAAGCAAAACATTTTTGTACGTACTGTTTCGATTCCAATAAGTGACTTCTTTCCATGTTCACCTCCTACAACTTCCTCTGAACCATTCTCGTACACGACATTAATAAACGACACACCATCTTGGCCTTGCCCTACATGCACCTTTCTAACACCGTCGTGAACACCATCATCCCATACATTTCCTCCCATACCTCCTTGTGCTTCCACCTTTTGAACCATCTTTTGCTTGCTTTTGATCAGTTTTTCGAATTACCTGTAGTTACGAACAAAATTTTTTATAACCAATTTTCCATGAAAACATTATCAGAAGAGAGAAGAAGAGTTGACCTGATAAGAGATAGTTATAGAAGAGAGTCGAGTGATCCATTTACGAAGAATTGCATGGGTATTTATTGATTTCTTGGAATATAGGCCAGCAATTAATTAATAGAAGATATTGTATAATCTCGTGGTCCACGTACGATACATTAAATTATTAAATTGTTGTGAATATGAAGCAAATGAGTTGAATTTGTGTATTAATGATGTGATAGTAGTACACGTTTCTTAATAGGTAATGTTATGCCTTCTCTTTGAACGAGCATAACGGTTAGTTATCGAACATAATGCAGTAACTCCCATTTTTGGCTTGTTTCTGTTTGAATCGTAACATGAAAAGAAAATTGAGAAAACGGATAGGAGTTAAATTTGGTCTAGTATAGAGTTTTATAATTTTGAAGCATGATTGACACGATATTATATGAAATAAAATGCGGTTTCAATTTGTTTTGCCAATTTAGTTTCATTTTTCAAGATGGGCAAAATTATGTTTTAGGATTGTACCTTTATTTAAAACACAATTTTTTTACACTATTTCATTTCAAGATTCTAGAAAAAATTGATAATTGTTAATGTTGTCGCAATTTAAAATATCAAATTATTCTTAACTGAATAAAAGAATTTAAAAAAAAAAATCAGCAGTTGTTGACAACAGAAATCGATTAATCAAAATTATAGTCTGGCGTACATCGTTGCGTGCCTGAATGTGGCAAAGAAAGAAAGATCTCGCTGTCTCGCGAACTCATGAATCGCGGTCTTTATTGAGATTGGGGTTATAAAAATGGATATGCATATACTAATTCAAAATCTTCTAAACAACAGAAATCGATTAATCAAAATTATAGTCTGGCGTACATCGTTGCGTGCCTGAATGTGGCAAAGAAAGAAAGATCTCGCTGTCTCGCGAACTCGTGAATCGCGGTCTTTATTGAGATTGGGGTTATAAAAATGGATATGCATATACTAATTCAAAATCTTCTATAAAACGTTAAATTTGACGTGTACGTCGACCCTAAACTCGTTGACGTGGTGTGTTGTCTACGCGTGTTATTCAAGATCTAGATTATGAAGATTTAATTTTCTCATAAAAATCGCCAAGAGGTAATAAAAAACTTAAAAACCATTTTCCTTACAAGACATGAGTTCGCAAACAATTATCCCAAGTAGTAATGTTATCATTCAACCCTACTATTGTAATAAACTTCTCAATAGACTAGACTATTAATGAAAAAAAGGATATGGAGACAAAATTGTTAAGGAAAGGTTATAAGAGTACAGTATAAGAATTAATAGTTCATGGTGATTTGACAGTTAGCGATGATGTTAAAATTCTAGTACCATGTGAAAGTTCTATTTGAGCTGAAAATAATATAATTTTGCATTTTACGTGTTAATTGCGAATTCAAACCGAACCTATATATATCTTCAGCCCTTGGTTTAACAAAATACCATAGCTTAGTTTGTACCTTTGCATGCTTTTGGCCCCAATTAGTATTTAGGGAAAAACAAATCTTCGTTTACCGTCAGAGCCGGCTCTAAGATTTTGAAAGTTCGCAACCAAAGAAAAAGAAAAAGGGCCGGAGTCACTGACTCTTGACCATCATCACCTAAACCACTAAACCACTGGAATACTTGAAAAAAAGGGCCGGAAATAACTTATGATATGAAAGACCGCAAGCAAATGCTTCATTGGCTTAGCCTAAGGGCCAGCTCTATTTTCAATTTTAGGAATTTGGATCACAAACCCATCGAAGATACAAAAACATCAACATTCATGAGAGACAACGCTTAAAACACTTGAGCAGTTTGTAAAAGAAACATGATAAGTAGAACAGCTTATTCAAAGGTCACTAGAGACATAAATAAACTTCAAGTGACAAATTCAGAAGACAGGTCTGATAACTTATTAGATGGAATCAAAGAGAAAGATGTCATGATCAGTTGGTGATGGGGAGGACATGGACTCCAATTTGATGAAGAATATCACTGACTTTTCCATGGAATCCGACAATCTTGTGGCCTTCCTCTTTAAGTTCAAAGGCTACGCCAGCTTCAAGACCAAAGGGATTGGATGTTTGCTTATTAGTCTTGAACCTAAGCATGGTAATGACCGCAGAGTCACTTCCAAATATTTTATCGTAGGTGCCATCCACAGCCGTGATGTATTCACTTGGATAATCAATGTCGAACTACAATGAAATCCAAACAAAACAATTTAATATTGGCCGATGGATCCGATCTGAATGACTTTAAGAAGATAGATAAACCCATTTAGGCTGCCGCGCGCGTTTAAAAAAGTGCTGACCTCGTAAATAAGATAGTAGTCCATGAACTTTTGATAGAGAAAAGCGAGATATAAGTACCTCTTCGAAGCCGAGTAGAGTCGTCTTTCCACGTTCATCTCCAACAACAATTTGAGAACCATTGACATACTCAAACTTAACCGCTGCCACACCATCGAGTCCTTGACCTATATGCACCTTCTTAACACCATTATAAGCACCATCGTCCCATGCAGTTCCTTCATCACTACCAAGTGCTGGAAGCTTCTTGGCAGGGATCAACGGGGCTGAAGTAGTCAACGGAGCAAAGTAAGCCCCAAGAGAATTAAGATTGTCTCCAGCAAACCCATGAAAGCCAGTGATCTTCTTGTCTTGAACTTGGAGAGTGAATTGAGTACCATCGTCGTATCCAATGACATCAGAAGTTTTCTTGTTCGATTTGAACTTAAGCCCTTGAATAACACCTTCAGGGTTATACCAACCTTCTACAGAAACCAAGTGTTCCTCTGGATGGTTGATCACAAACTATAGAGATCAAGATCAAAATGTCAAAAACAAGATCAGGATCAAACTTGATATATATATTGATCAATGGGCAAGGAAAAGGTATAGGAACCGGATCAGCTGCGATACTACGGCCTTTGATGCCGCGAAGAGGAGCTTCTTCAGTTTGTCCGTTCTTGACATAGTCGAACTGAACGTATTGAATGCCGAGTCCACCTGCTCCGACCTGAATCTTGGTCACAGCGTCATGTACGGATCCATCGTCCCATTGGTTGCCTCCTTTCCCTCCTTGTGCTTCCACCTTTTGAGCCATCGTTCTTTGGTTTTTACCAGTCTTATGAGTTACTAAAACAGCAAAAACAATTTTTAATTTCAACTTTAACAAATTTTACAAAATTATATTATGAGATAGAGAGGAAAGAAAGTTGACCTTCAGAGAGAGAGTAGACGGTGATCCATCCATGTGAATTTATTGACCTCTTCGAATTAGGCGCCAGGATATTTTACCAAAAGATAATCTAATTAATACCAAGATATTTATCTCATAGTTAGATCGGGGCATATAGGCCATTATTTAATCAATTAACACAATTCTAATATCTAAATAATAGTAATCTATAATTTCGTGATCCACGAGGAATATTAAAATATTTTACCCCAAAAAAGCTTATACTTATTTTGTTTTTCAAATTAAAATTTATAGTAGAATTAGTATTATATAGAAGCAATTGAGAAAATAAAAATTACAAGATATAGGGAAATAAAAATTAGAAGAGATGGAACAAACTTCCTTATTAAAATGGAGTACAATCACATCAAAGAAAAAATAACATTACAAGAGACAACACTTAAAACACTTATCAAAGGTCACCAGAGAGGCATGAAGAGACCTCAAATGACAAATTTAGAAGATAGATTTGATAACTTATTAGATGCATGGATTCAAAGATAGAGATCTCCATTATCAGTTGGAGACGGGACGGACATGGACTCCAAATTTGTGAAGCAGATCACTGGCTCTTCCATGGAAGCCAACGATTTTGTGGCCCTCCTCTTTGAGTTCGAAGGCTGTGCCAGCTTCAAGTCCAAAGGGAGGAGACGTTTGCTTATTAGTCTTGAACCTAAGCATAGTTATGACTGAGCCATCACTCCCAAAGATTTTATCGTAGGTGCCTTCGACTGCGGTGATGTATTCACTTGGATAGTCAAGTACGAACTGCAGTTATTGGAACCCAATAAAAACAATTGAATATATCATTATGCAAACCGAAGGAGAGTTTGGATTCTCTGATAAAAAAATATCTCTACATATGTATAATATTTATTTTGTAAATTTTCACATTCAACAAAGAAAGAAAAAAGGCATTATACCTCTTCGAATCCGAGTAGAGTACTCTTTCCATGTTCTTCTCCTACGATCTCCTCAGGGCTTTTGTCGTACACAAACTTAACGGCTGAGATACCATCTTGGGCTTGTCCTACGTACACCTTCTTAACACCAACGTAAGCTCCATCATCCCAAGCAGCTCCATCATCACTACCAAGTGCTGGTAACTGCTTGGCAGGAGTCAACGGAGTTGTACTAGTCAACGGAGCAAAGTAAGCCCCAAGAGAACTAAGATTGTCTCCGGCAGACCCATGAAAGCCAATGATCTTCTTGTCTTGAACTTGCATAATGAATCGAGTACCAAGATCATATCCAATGAAACCAGAAGTCTTTTTGTTGGATACGAACCTAAGCCCTTGAACAACACCTTCAGGTCTATACCAAATTTCTACAGAAACTAGATGCTCCTCAGGATGGTTAATCACAAACTGTAGAGATCAAGGTCAATATATATGATCAATACTTCAAGATAAAACTAGAGATTTTTACATAAAAAGAAGAAGTCAATAGGCAAGGAAAATGTATAGGAACCGGATCAGCTGGAATGGTACGGCCTTTGATACCGCGAAGAGGAGTTTGTTCGGTTTGTCCGTTCTTGACATAATCGAACTGAATGTATTGAATTCCATTTGCGCCTGCTGCGACCTGAATCTTGGTCACGGCGTCATGTTGGGATCCATCGTCCCATTGGTTGCCTGCTTTCCCTCCTTTTGCATCCACCTTTTGAGCCATATTTTGTTTGCTGATGTTACTATAATTGCAAAAACAAATTGCTAATTTCGATTATTAACCAATTTTAGTAATAGAGATTGAAATCGAGATGACCTTAAAATGTGACTAGATTGTGATCGCTGATGTGATCAATTTAAGTGGATCGTAGGTGTATTTATATTGACTCCTTGGATATAACCATTGATTCGTATTTAGGCCATTGATCGTCCTAGTCGATCGAAATAATAATCTATTAGTATTTCGTGATCCACGAGGCATATTTAAAGAAACATTACCGGAAGAAACGCACGTTCAAATATTCATATACTTTTATACTTTCACAACTTCTCAACTAATCGTCTTTTATATTAATTGGTGTTGGCCCATGAAAGATGAAACGATGGCAGCGAGCTAATTACTAGTTATTATTAGAAAATTCACAGAGTCGGCTACCAATTTTATTATGTACGTTATTATTTATAAAGGGTTCAAGTTGCAATTTATGTAAGTTAGAATTCTCCAATTAGTGACCTCCTTCTTAGGAGTCTGATTGGTTGACGATTTGATAAGTATTGTATGAACATGTTTCCAAAGCCTTAAACATTGTTTAAAACAGTAAAAGTATAAACGAAGATAAATTAGAAACAAGTTAAAGAGTAGATATATAATACAATTTTCCTGTAACGTTCAATCTAGAAACAAGAACCGGATCATATGGATCTAAAATTATTTCTAAAAAATCTCCTCACAACTGATTTATGAAATATTATTAAACTTTGGGAACCGTATTTCTAAAAAAAACTCTTTTTCTTTGGTAGTATATAATTGTATCCTTTACACTGTTACTAAATATCAATCTAACTAATAGAAGCTTAAATATAATTCATAATTTGTCTAAATATGAGAAATCGATAGCTAATAATTTGTATTTGTTTTGGCCAACTCATATACTTTTCAACTAATAATTTTTTTATGTTTGCAGAAGGCAAAAAAACTTCAATTTTTGGGCACAACCTAGATAAAATTTTTTTTAAGGCTTTGTTTCTGAGAAAACTTTTGTATTTTAAATTGTACAATTCATACGTTGAGATTTTGGTTTAAATTATAGTAAGTAGAATTAGTATCACAAGCACATGGGAAAAATAAATATCAGAACATATATATAGGAAAAATGATAATTAGAAGAGATGGAACAAACTTCCTTTATTAAAATGGAGCATAAGAACATCAAAGAAAAACCAATATCACAAGAGACAACACTTGAAACACTTATTAAAGGTCACCAGAGGCATGAAGATCCTCGAACGACATATTTAGAAGATAGATTTGATAACTTATTAGATGCATGGAATCAAGGATAAAGATCTCCATTATCAGTTTGAGACGGGACGGACATGGACTCCAAATTTGTGAAGCAGATCACTGGCTCTTCCATGGAATCCAACGATTTTGTGGCCCTCCTCTTTGAGTTCGAAGGCTGTGCCAGCTTCAAGTCCAAAGGGAGGAGACGTTTGTTTATTAGTCTTGAACCTAAGCATAGTTATGACTGAGCCATCACTCCCAAAGATTTTATCGTAGGTGCCTTCGACTGCGGTGATGTATTCACTTGGATAGTCAAGTACTAACTGCAAGCAAATAAAACAATTGAATACATCTGATCGAAGAATATCTCTATATATTCAAATTCAACAAAAAGAGAAAGAAAGGATTTACCTCTTCGAATCCGAGTAGAGTACTCTTTCCATGTTCTTCTCCTACGACCTCCTCAGGACTTTTGTCGTACACAAACTTAACGGCTGAGATACCATCTTGGGCTTGTCCTACGTACACCTTCTTCACACCAACGTAAGCACCATCATCCCAAGCAGCTCCATCATCACTACCAAGTGCCGGTAGCTGCTTGGCAGGAGTCAACGGAGTTGTACTAGTCAACGGAGCAAAGTAAGCCCCAAGAGAATTAAGATTGTCTCCGGCAGACCCATGAAAGCCAATGATCTTCTTGTCTTGAACTTTGAGAGTGAATGGAGTACCATCTTCGTATCCAATTACATCAGAAGTCTTCTTGTTGGAGATGAACTTAAGCCCTTGAATGACACCTTCGGGGCTATACCAACCTTCTACAGAAACTAGATGTTCCTCTGGATGGTTAATCACAAACTGTGCATAGATCAAGATCAAAATGTCAAAAACTTCAAAATCTATCAATAGATGTATATACAGATTGGAAAGAAGAATATCAATGGGCAAGGAAAATATATAGGAACCGGATCAGCTGGCATAACACGGCCTTTGATACCGCGAAGAGGAGCTTGTTCGGTTTGTCCGTTCTTGACATAATCAAACTGAACGTATTGAATGCCGAGTCCACCTGCTCCGACCTGAATCTTGGTCACAGCGTCATGTACGGATCCATCGTCCCATTGGTTGCCTCCTTTCCCTCCTTGTGCTTCCACCTTTTGGGCCATCTTTTGCTTCTTGACCAAACTTACGAATTTCTGTAGTTGCAAAAATAATTTGTTAATTTCTACTATTAACCAATTTTTACAAAATAGAGAGGAATAGAGAGATGACCTTCTAAAGAGAGTAGATTGTGATCGGTGCTATGATCAATTTAAGTGAATTGTATGTGTATTTATATTGACCTCTTGGATATTACCATATATCCGCATATAGGCCATTGAACAGTTAGTACTAGTCGAAATAATAGTAGTATATAGTTTCGTGGATCACGAGGCATATTAAAAAAAAAAAAAAACATTACCCAAAAACTCGTATGTTCAAATATTCATATATTTACATATCTCAACTAATCGTCTTTATGTTTGTGGTTGGCCATGAAAGTTGAAACGATGGCAGCGAGCTAATTTGTTATTTTAAAGTTCACATGGTCGTATATTATATTATGTACGATCAGTGGCGGACCCAGAAATTTTTTTAACCCGGTGCAAAAATATTATCGTAAATAATTTATTTTGTTATATATATTTTATAAATATAAAATCAGAAAAATCCCTTTAAAAATAAGAACTAAATTTTGAGAAAAACTATTGCATTTTTAATATTATTCAAAGTTAAACTATTATAATAAGAAAATGAAAAATGTTGAAAATGATTAGTTTATATAGAAAAAAAACTTAACATATCCTTGAATATCTAAAAAAATTTGTTCACATTTATATATTAATTTTGTTAATTATAAATTGTTGATAGTCGCATTTGATGGAGATTGCATCTCCAGCAACTATACCATAATAAAATTGAATCTAAAACTAGAAATAGGATATTTTCGTAGGATTTTGTATTTAATGTTATAATTGTCATTAAAAGGTTAAGAAAGGAAACACACATTGAATGTTGTTTTTCCTTTTAAGTGAAACGAGAAATGGACAAGCGTGAAAACGGAAAAATTAACAAGGTCAATAATTTTGCTCAAAATTGTTTAAGAGTTTCTAAATTTGACCAGGTCACTTGACCTCCCAAGTGTATACATGGGTCCGCCCCTGTGTACGATTGATTATTAGGTAAGGGTTCAAGTTGCAATTTATAAATCAGAATGATGCAATTAGTGCATGAACATGTTTTAAAAGCCTTAAACATTATTTAAAACAGTAAAAATAAAATTTAAATCACTGAATAGAAATTATTAAGTCATAACTCAGCATGTTCAAACGGATGTTCATATTTACTTTTTGAAACTTCTTAAAGCATCTCCATCCAAAAATTCTAACAGGGTATCTAGAAAGTAAAATAATAAAAAATAATAATAAAAATAAAACTAAAAAAGAGATTAAGCACTGGTTCAAATCTTTAAAAAACTCATTAGAACAATTCTAACCATTTGTCATCATATAAGGGGCATAATTTTATTTTAATATTAAAATTTAATTATTTATTTAAATTATATAATAATAATAATATATTGTTGTTGAGATACTAAAAGAGTATCTAAATATTGGAGGTGCTCTTACAACTGATTTATGAAATATTCGTAAGTTTTGCTAAGCGTATTGCTAAAAAAAAAAATTGTTCTCTTTGGAAAAAAGATTTATTATGGTACCTTTACATTGTTACTAATATTAATCTAATGGATAGAAGCTTAATATGATTCATAATATTAGTATATGGACTTCCAACTCAAAATCAATTGATAATGAATAGATTAACTTATATATTTTATATACTAGTAAAGATTTTTTTGTCCTTCTAGTGTAGGATATTATTATTTCTAATACGTCCCTTCGAGATGATGACTTTTCTAGCCATTCATCTCGGTATATTCGGACAAGGATCGGCATATCAACTATTGGGTCAGGCGCGACCAATTATAGATTTGGACATGTATGAATCGAGTTCTGATACCATATTAGAATATGAGCTTCTAACTCAAAACCAATTTACAATGATAACTCATATATCTTATATACTAGTTAATATAATTATCCCTAATACATAATTTGTCGAAATAGGTTAACATGTGTAGTATGTATTTAATAATAAGTAGCTATTGCGAATGCAAAACAATCGAGAAAAATTACTCTAGCTCAATAGTAATATTGTTTGGTTACCTTTTAGACTTGTAAGCTAGTAGTTTTGTGTTATTTATAATGGATGTGGTACGTACATCCGAATACGAATCCGCATATTGTTTATTATTGAAAAAATCAATGATAATTTGCCTGCCTACTCATTAATTGACCTTATCTATTTAATACTAATTAAGAGGGTACAAACTTATAATTTTAAAAATATATATAGTATTAACTATTAGAAGACTATAATATTGTAATCATCTACTCATCATGCATAGTAATCCCAATAATTTAACTAAGAGTAAACAATAGTTATTGACATATGAAAATAATTGCAAGATAGCAACAGCCATTAGTGGAGTGGACTTCTGAAAAATTAAAACAAATAATACGTAAACCAAATTAAACTCAACCATAATCATGAATATTTTGATCAAGATATACCTAAACCTCTTTATCATTTCCAGTCTTTGTTCTAACTTCTACGTTACGTTCGGTGCGTAATTAATTTTTCGTTCTTCTCGTTTTCGATCGTCGTTCCTCACAAAGACACAAAATATTTTCTTTTAAGGAAAATATTACTAAATTTACGTTTTGTTTTGCATATTTTTTTTTGTAAAGAACTTAATTTGAGACGAAAATGGTAGGACAAGAATAGACTAAATAAAGCAGAACTAATTTAATTTTTGAAAATTTTATTTTAGTTTCTTTGAAAATTTAAAATGTGCATAATTTATAACACTAAATCTTATTCAAGAAATTTTGATAAATCAAGTAAATAGTAAATATTTGAAGACATTACATATTGCAAGGTGGAATTAATTTTACCATTACAAGGATTTTTTTTTTGTTAAAGGTTTAAATACAAGGAATTTGGTAAAGTATAGTAGAAATTAATAACAGATATATTAATGTTAATAGTGTTTTAAAATAAAATTAGTTACAACCAAACAGCAGTCATATGTTATGAGATTATGAGAAAGTGACAAACCACGAAAGGCATGACTTGGTTAAAAAAAAAAAAAAAAGAGAGAGAGAGAGAAAGGCATGACTTACCTAAATATTTCACGTAAAAATACGAAGTCGCGAACAAATGAATGGGTTTCACTTCCACACACGTCAAATTTTTCTCTTCATGATTTGTGTTTGTGAAACTGTGAATTATGCATGGGTTTTAAATAGTGAACGTTGGAATGAAAATTGAAGCATTGATCGATCTTGGATATGTGATTATCTTTAATATAGAGATAATAATTTATACACATATATAAATCAACCAATGTGAAAAATGATCTAGAAAGAAAGGGATCAATTCTATACTTTTTTGTCATCATATTCATCATCAAGACATCATGTATAAAACAGAGTCCGTAAACCTGTTTTGTTAATTACTAAATAGAGAGTTTGGATAGCAGCTATCGTTTACTACGTAAGTTTTAGTACAATAGTTATTAACATTGTAAAGACTAAAGAAACATCCCATTCCACGATTTATCCTCAGACATCGAAACATACCATCAAACAAATCAATCCTTTTTACTCGATACAAATTCCAACCCAAATCCTGATAAAAGATTTTGTGATTATTGGACGTAGATGTCTTATGTCTATTCCAACACAAACGATACCTTATTTAAAGAGACAGACCACTTCATCACAAGAAACATACAGATCAACAAACCAACGACATGAGAACACACAACACATAGTTTAAAGAGAGTAGCTAGAAGCAGAGGAGCAACAAGCATTTAGGGCTTTTTCATTTTATTTTAGTAAGCCTAGAGAGAGCTCTCAAAGGTTTAAGACTTGAGATTGGCGAGACGTAGACACCAACTTGATGAACAAAATCTCCAGCTTTGCCATGGAATCCAACGATCTTATGGTCTTTCATCTCCAACGTAAACGGTGTGCCTGCATCGAGCCCAAACGGTGGAGATGTACGTTTATTTGTCATAAATCTAAGCATCGTCACCAACTCGGCTTCAATTCCAAAGACATTATCGTAACATCCCTCCACCGATACGATGTATTCATTTGGAAAATCTAGCACAAACTGCAAGAAAAAAGAAAAACAAAGACCCGTGAACATTGGATCTCAAGAAAAACATTATTTGGTAAACTCGAGAACAGTGCACAAAAACCTCCGCTGTTCCAAGAAGTGACATCTTCCCATGACCAACTCCAGCTACAAGCTCCTTGCCATTAACATACTCAAATTTGACAAAGGACACACCTGAGTCACCTTGTCCTACATATATCTTCCTAACATCTTCATAGAAACCATCATCCCATGCGGCTCCTCCGTTTCCGCCTTTTGCTTCCAATTTCTTAGCCGGAGCTGGCACGGGAACATTAAGTGGTGCAGGCGCAAAATGTGCTCCGAGAGCATCGATGAGATCACTGGATCGTCCACGGAATCCTACAAGCACGAAATCTTTTTCCGCAAAGACGAATTTCGTACCAATCGCGTTTCCAAATGTAGCAGAAGTTTTCCCCTTTGATGTCTTGAAGGTTACCGATGTGACAAAACCATCATAAGTTCCTTCCACTGATGCAATATGTTCATTTGGATAATCCAGCACAAACTACAAATTAAAGAGAAACTCATTATAATTCTTAAGCAAACTCTATAGACAAAAACTTCGAGCTTAGAGCTTTCCAAAGATTACCTCTTTCGGTTCTTGTTTTCTCTTTCCATGAGAATGTGGTATCGATGTGCTTCCTTTAACAACGTACTCAAACCTAACATAGCTTATGCGATTTCCATCTTGTCCAATCAAGATCTTTTTTACACCGTCGTAAACGCCATCATCCCAAGCACTTCCTCCATTTCCACCTTGAGGTTCTAACTGCTTCAGAGGCGGGGAAGACGCGAAAAAGTTAGCTCCTATGGCATCAATAGCATCACCCGACCTTCCATGGAACCCGATAAGCTTGGCTCCACCTTTACCTTCCATCACAAAATCTGTTTTGAAAAACGCCGTCTTACCAAACATTGGAGATGTTCTCCCGTGTGATGTCTTGAATATAAGCGTCTTCACAACAGTTGAATTATATTTCGAAACATCGCTATAGCTTCCCTGAATTGATGTGATGTATTCGTCTGGATTGTTAAGTTCAAACTTAACAAAAAAAAAAAATAGCAAGAATGGTGAATATTTTATCAACATAATGACAAATTCAGAACCATATGTGTTCAATTTTTTTACCTCTTTGAGAGTTTCGGTAGTTTTTCCGTGTACTCGTGTCTCGAATTTTCCGTCTTTGACGTATTCGATTTTCATATAAATCACGCCGTGATCGTCTTCCCCAACAATCACTTTCTTCACATCGTCATAACCAAAGACACCATCGTCGAATGCATATCCTTTGTTACCGCCGAAAGGTCCTACTTTCTGTGACATTGTTTCCTGAAAAACATTTTTTTATCAAAAAAAAAAAAATTATTATTACAACAATCCGACCAATGTGGAAATAATCTATCGAAAATAAAATCTTATATCTCAATGAAAAATACTACTTTTTTCTTTTTTTTTTAATACTACTGTTTTAATTACAGCATGCAGATGAAAACAGATTTGGCAATCGCTTTCAACAAATAATCCACGCATAAAAAGCAAATACTATACATACAGTACTTCTAAAATTATTTATATGGACTACGGTAATTACAAGGAAGATCATAAACAATTTATAAGATGATCAATTTCCAATCACTGATACTGAAGATCTAAATAAAAATTAATGAAAAAATAAGAAAGTTATGGGATAAATTAAACGTAGAAATTAGATAATTGCAACCTCTAGGTTTCTTGGCTCATCAGATTGAAGGAAGATAAAAGAGTGATGAATAAGTGTGGGTTGGAGTTTGCATATATATATATATATATTGATACTCATACTCTTTGGTACGGGCGTACGGCCAATCTTGATTTTCTTTTACCACGATATTAGTTTTCTGTTATTGTTTAAAATATTATCTTTTACCAAAATATTATATAAGATGATTTTCTAAATGTTATTTACGGTTCTTTATTAAAAAAAAAGAAAACTTATTATTACGAACTTGTTGGGTTACAACAAATTTTAGTTACAAGTTACAGTATAACCAATTAAACAGCTGTCATGATTTATGAGATTACGAGAAAGGGATAAACCAAAATGGCATGACTTACCTAAATAGTTCACATAAATTTGAAGCCGCGAACAGAGGAATGCATAGGTTTCTTCACTAATGATTTTGGGCTTATTTGGGTTTTAGATTATGATGCCAGTATTCTATTTTTGGGAGTTTGTAGTTTCTATAAGCCCCAATATGTAATTGCATAGTGTTGTGAACTGTGTTTTTCATTAATAGAATAAAGGATATATATACAAAGATAATATATGTTGGCATTGTATATTTTAAAAATATGTTTTAATGTAATTTGTTCATATGATATATGAGAATCTTAAAGTAGGATATTCTTTTGACAAAAGAAACAAAGAGTAGTATATTCTAAATGGATTTCCCTGGTTTGCTAGCCATTATAGTCATTTATTTAATTTTATGTTCATAATCAAATTACCTTACCTAATTCACCCAAACGAAATTTTTTTTCTGTCTTTGAAACAATCGAAGAAGATTTGAGAACATTAATTTATTATATATTTTAATCCAAATAATAATTATTTTATATTTATTGAAAACAATTTTTTTTACTTCTCAACAAAATTTTTAAAAACTAATCTTCTCTTTTACTGCTCAACACTAGGATCGGACTCGCGGTCCACCGCGGGAGAATATTGGTTTACATATGTTGCGTTTAATATTGTGTGTGTTTTTTAGTAGAATGAATCGTGTAGTATACTTATAAATATTCATAATAACGAATCGTAGAGAAAATGTAAAATTGTTTATAAATATACCCATCGTAATAATTATGATTTACAAAATAGAATTTTGTGTTTTAAAATTCTAAAATTAGACGATTCATGGGAATTAGAGCAGTCAAAATAGGTCAAAAACCGCGGGTCCAGCCCACATCATCTCACTATGGGGCAGATTTGGGAAAATATATTAAATCCGGAAATAAGCGGCCACATGGATTAATTCGCAGTAGGTCATAGGTTTAATCGGTTTTCATCCGCGGGTTGACGGATCAGCCCGCATATTAGTATTTATTGATAAAATTATAATTTATTCAACATGTGGTAATTTAAACAAACTTTTAATAGTATTTTGATTTATTTATTTATTTTAGTAGTTGGTTACTTTAAAATTATTTAAACAAAATTCATGGACAATCCCGCAAATCCGCATACATCCGCATATAGGTATGAAAATATCATAATTTCGATTTAATCTAATTAAATTAAAATTAGTTGCATGGATTTCATATCTATTTAATTTATACGACCAAAATAAAAATATCTATTTAATTTACACGACCAAAATAAAAATATCAATTTAATTTATAAAATATGGTTTATTTGTGATAAATTTTCTAGAAATCTTTAGAAGCAAGTAAAATATCTTTCAATTAATGATAATTGGCTAAAATGAACGAAATTAATGACAAAAACGTTGATTGTTATGGAATTAGTCCCAAAAATATATGAACAAATTTATTATACGTAATTAATGTATAATATTGTTTGGAATATGCTTTTATTATTAGTTACCATATGTACAATCAGATTTTATTTGATTTCTATAAATATTTGATTTTATTTCAATTTTTCATTATTAATTCGAATTTATATTCCAAAAAAATTTCAAAGATCCGATTTCAGAATTTCGGGTCAATTTTCTGATTTTAACCCGACCCATTTTCATTTGTACTTCTTTTTTAATAGTATAGAGATTATTATATTGTTGTCCGGAAAACTTTTAGAAACTATCAACCAAATATTTATACATTCGATTTTCTAAAAACAAGTAGCATATTCTAACTGGATAGAATTTCCCTTGTTTACGTGCCACTATAGTCATTTATTTTATTTATGTCCAAAATCAGATTACCTCACGAATTTTGTTGTTTTTGGTCAACATCTTATGTTACAGGATTGGTTCAAATGAACCAAACCGAGTGAATATATTGTTGACATACGAAATAAAATGCGGGTGAACACGTATATTGGTTGCCAATCTATATGCTTTAAAATTAATTAGAGAATTGTTAAATGTACGTCTTGCTAGCTCACATCAATTTATCAACCAGTTACCATACAACCCATTATTCTTAAAATGGGTTCCCTTTTGAGAATTGAGGGCAACACTACCATTAAGCCAAAATGCAATGGGCGATTATACTTATTTGAAGAACGTGGCCATGATGCAGATCGTGGCCATGATGCAGATCTCATAAAAGAAAGAAGATATAGAAAAGAAAACAATACGAGTTGCCATATCTTTATCATGTAAGATAAAAGTCTTCCCTAGCGACCATCATCCATATCTTCCGCAGGTCAATAAATACCCATGAAATTTCCAAAACATAGATCACTGCACCAATTAATCATTACTTTCTTTTAAGGTCATCTCTCTACCTCTCACCGGCCCATTCTCTTATATGATTATTGTTAGTATAGTATTTGATTACATTATACGTTTCTTACTGCAGGTAGTACTATTCGTAAGATTTATCAAACGCAAGCAAAAGAGATGGCCAAAAAGCTAGAAGCAAAGGGTGGTGAGACGGGAGATGTATGGGATGATGTTGTTTACGACAATGTTAGAAAGGTATATGTAGGGCAAGGCCAGTATGGTATAGCCTTCGTCAAGTTTGAGTATGTCAATGGTTCTCAAGTAGTTGTTGGAGATGAACATGGAACGAAGACAAAGCTAGGAGTTGATGAGGTACTAAAATAGATATATCTATGTTGTGATTGGTCAAGAGGGTCTTTTGTTTGTTGGTTTCCGAATTGAAAATTGTTTGATTTCTTTGCAGTTTGAGATTGATGCGGATGACTACATCGTATACGTGGAAGGTTACAGTGAGAAGGTTAATGATATGACCTCAGAAATGATCACGTTTCTTTCATTCAAGACGTTTACAGGCAAAACCTCTCATCCTATCAAAAAAAGACCTGGGGTTAAGTTTGTGCTACAAGGTGGAAAAGTCGTTGGGTTTCACGGACGTTCCACCGACGTTCTACACTCTCTCGGGGCCTATGTTTCTTTGTCGTCCACTCCCAAATTGCTTGGAAACTGGATCAAGGTAGTAATCTCTTAAACCAACACAAAAAAAAAAAAAAAAAAAACACACACACACAAATAGATATGAAGGTTTTTAATTGTTACCACAGCAAATCACTAAATCACGTACGCGAAACAAAAAAAAATGTAGAAAACAAAGAGAGGGAAAAAATTGGCATATAATCAATGACAGTTTTTGCAATTTATATTTTCATTAATTTGGTTTCACCAAAAAAAAAAAAATCATTATTTTCAGTAATTTGATCTTACAATTATGGAAATTCACTAAGCAAAATATAATCCTTTTAAAAAATAGCTAACATATATTATTAATTAAATTATAAGGTGGAGGAAAACGGAGAAGGTCCAGGGCTAAGATGCTCACATGGCATAGCACAAATAGGTAACAAGATTTACTCCTTTGGTGGGGAGTTCACACCAAATCAGCCCATCGACAAACACCTTTACGTCTTTGACCTCGAGACCCGGACTTGGTCCATTTCTCCAGCCACCGGAGACGTTCCACACCTCTCTTGCTTAGGTGTCCGTATGGTGTCAATAGGATCGACCCTCTATGTCTTTGGAGGCCGAGACGCTTCACGCCAGTACAACGGTTTCTACTCATTTGACACAACCACAAACGAGTGGAAACTGCTAACTCCGGTCGAAGAAGGACCAACTCCTCGTAGTTTCCACTCGATGGCAGCCGATGAGGAAAACGTTTACGTTTTCGGTGGAGTGGGTGCTAGGGAACGAATCAAGACTCTAGACTCTTACAATATCGTTGATAAGAAGTGGTTTCATTGTTCGACTCCAGGAGATTCCTTTAGCATAAGAGGAGGAGCAGGGCTCGAAGTGGTGCAAGGGAAAGTATGGGTTGTGTATGGATTTAATGGATGTGAAATAGATGATGTTCATTTCTACGATCCTGCTGAAGACAGTTGGACACGAGTGGAAACATTTGGTGTGAGACCTTCCGAAAGGAGTGTATTCGCTAGTGCGGCTCTTGGGAAACACATTGTGATGTTCGGAGGTGAGATTGCGATGGATCCACTAGCTCACGTAGGTCCGGGTCAATTGATCGATGGGACTTTCACGTTGGATACAGAGACGTTGCAATGGGAGAGGTTAGATAAGTTTGGTGAAGAGGAGACACCGAGTAGCAGAGGATGGACCGCGTCCACAACTGGGACCATTGATGGTAAGAAAGGACTTGTGATGCATGGTGGTAAAGCTCCAACCAATGACCGGTTTGATGACCTCTTCTTTTATGGAATTGACTCTGTCTGATTAAGCGCGATTTGATCATGACCGTTTGTGATTGTGTGTTTGTTTGTGTGTGATGCAATAAGGGAGGGGTCGTGAAAGATCCTTCGTCAGCTTATCATTTTCTTTTATCTTTTCTAATGTTTTTTTTTTTTTTTTTTTTTAATGTTTGTTTCATGTTTCGTGGCTTGTCAAATCAGATGTTTATTTTCTTAAAAGAAATCGCCAGACAAAAAATGGTAGCTATTGTCAATTACGTAGGTTTGAAAAAAAAATACTTAGGTTTGAGTAGAATAGTTATTCTATTTGTAAAGAATCATCGCATTCCACAATTGATTGTGCCAGGTAAACAGGTAAACCGACGTCGTATTTGACATTAACGGAGACTCGGTAACGGGTGTTAGCATTTCTGTTTGCATGCCTGTTAACGGTGTGTCGTTTTGGCCTTGTCAACGCATTCAATTGGTTCAGATGGCTTGTCAATTTTTAGTTCACGTATAAAATGGTCATTTACAGAATTCGAAGTTAAAATGACCATTTTATGAAACTTGGGCTATTAAATGACATTTTCCCCCCTATTTATTTGGTTATTTAATTATATATATATATATATATATATATATATATATATATATGTCATGTACATAGTGTGGTGCCTAGAGATTTAGAGACCTAAGACGATAATTTAAAATGTGACATTTTAAAAGAAAAATTCAAAATAGTAAAATGTAGTTAAGCTTAAAATTTCAAAAACAAAACTTTAAAAAAAACATTTAAAATAGAAAAAAACCTTTAATAAATGAATAAGTATTAATTTTGGTACTAATAAAACCTTTGAAATTGACCATTAGAAAAAGAAACTGAGGGGGTGTTATTGGTTTATTAATTTGTAAATCCATATAGAATTTGAAAATTTCTTAATTATGAAATCAAGATATATAGATTTTGAAATAACATGTGTTTACCCATGGATTTGAATCCTTCTATTTTTCTCTTTCAATTCCATTCAATTCTATTTAAAACATAATTTGGATTCTCAAATCCAAAAACAAATGACTAAACGAATAACATATGATTTTAACTAGTATTTATAAATCATAGAACCAATAACACATGAATTTAATTAGGATTTTAAAATCAATGATTGAATAACAAATGATTTTTGTTTGGATTTCTAATTCTATATAAATCCATAAACCAATAACCTCTCCTGAGTAGTTCGATTAGGATAATTTCCATAAAATATACCCTATAAAATTACAATATTAAGTGTGGGCACTTGCCTTTTCTTTATAAGGGGAGGTACCGCTCTGCATGTACATATTCTCTCGTGTTGTTTAGAAATGCTGTTTTAGATTTATATTTTTATTTTTAAATAGACGATATTTTCATAAATCTATGTAAAATTCGCATCTGATAACTTTTTGTCCTTTATATTTTTGAGATAATTTTCAGTCAAAAGTTTTAAAATTAAAGTGTTTTACCAGAGATACAGGCAATCAAACAATTACCATTTAAAATGTTCACAAACTCATATTAATTACTCAGTTATATCAGATAGCATTACGATTGATTTTTTATGTTTTTTTCCACAATTCCACCAAAAGTTTTTTTTACTTTTTAGTTAATTGTGAAAAAGTTAAAATAAGTATTATAGAACCTTTCATAATTAGTATGTCTAAAAACATCATCTAAAAAGGAAAAAAAATATAATATTTTCCTATTATCTTGAAAGAAATTATTAATGACGATTTATATACATTTAATAATATTGTATTGATGGGGAGTACTTACACGTGAAATATGATGGTGCAAAAAGTCAAAACTTTTGAACTAAGCTTGATGTAAGAGCAAGCCCAATGGAGGGGTATAGAGAGACTCTTAGCTCAGAATCCTTAAAAAAAAGGCCCAAATTAAATGAAAAATATAAATAAAGATAAGAAACGTACCTTAGTTTAGAGTTTTTTTGGTCTGCAAGAGGTCCATACGTGTCAACTTTCTAATTATTTTTCTCCTCTTCATTTGCGATTTCTCTCTCTCGCTCTTCTCTTCTAATCTCCAATGGCTGTGAAACGAAGAACACGGTGTAGACTCTCGATCATCATCGTCGAAGTGTTTCAATCGGAGAACACGGTGTAGACTCTCGATCACAATATGCATGATCGGAGCCGGAGGTTTCATCGGTTCACATCTCTGTGAAAAATTGATGATGGAGACGCCTCAAAAGGTACTTGCGCTTGATGTTTACAACGAGAAGATCAAACACTTGCTTGAACCTGATACCGTTGAATGGAGTGGTCGGATCCAGTTTCATCGTATCAATATTAAGCATGATTCAAGGCTTGAAGGTCTTATTAAGATGGCGGATCTGGTAAAATGCTTCTTCTTATCGATTTTGCTTCTTTATCTCTTGTTCTTCGTTGTTTAAGGTTAAAAAATTAGCAATGATGGTGTGATTGTGATGATTGTAGTCTCAGATCTGATGATTCGTTATCGGAATTCAGATAATTTGCATTTTGATTATCTGCTTAATTTCGCGATGTGTTGAGATCGGTGATGTAATTCTGATGTTTGTTTTTGGAGTTTGCAGACTATACATCTTGCTGTGATCTGTACTCCAGCTGATTACAATACACTTCCTCTTGAAACAATCTACAACAATTTCATTGATGCGCGTCCAGTTGTATGTGTTTTCTTCTTACTTCGTCCGTTGTTTTGTGCTTCATTATTAGTTGAAATTGATTGGTTTAATGTGTTGGTTTTGTTAGGTTAAATACTGTTCTGAGAACAACAAGCGTCTCATTCACTTTTCTACCTGTGAAGTGTATGGAAAAACCACTGGTAGCTTTCTTCCTAAGGACCATCCTCTGGCGTGAGGTAATGCCTATTTGTACCTTTCGTTTTCAACATGTTGTTGTGTTTCTATCAATCATATCAATGAATGTACTGAGGAACATGTTGAAGCTGACATTTTCTTTCGTTTTCTTAGCTACATTATGAATGCTTCATTCATTTTTTTTTGTATTTTTTATATATTTTATGCCTTGTATGTTTAATTTTTTTAGGAAATTGTAATAATTATTAAGTTTTACCAAATAAAAATGTTTATAATTTTTCAAAATTTTTTTTTAAGAAACCCACTTAAGGACTCTACCATTGGACAAAGAAAATTTTAAGGATTCATCACAAACTCTTAATTTTAAAATTGCCATAATTTATGATTAAAAAATGTTTAAAGATCCTTTTAAGGATTCTACCATTGTTGTTGCTCTAACACTTTTTTCTGGATATGTGATATCTTTGATAGAGATAACTTAGTTACATACAATTATATTATTTGTTATATATATGATCTTTCACAGATATAATCATCTTATATACGATTATCGTTTTTCTTTTTTTTTTTTTTGTTCAAAACAATTATATTTTCTTTATTTCATTTTAAACAATGTTTAAGATTTTTGCACATATATTAAAAATCACAAAAATTTCATTTAATTTACTTCTTTCACATAAAAACATCATTTCATATAACTAATTCAACCAATAAATATCATCGATCAAAAATATTAAATATATTTAATTTTGATATGAAATTAAGTAAAACATCATATAAAATCAATTTCATAAAAACATCATATAAAATATCATCATCTCCACTGTCTTCATTTTCTACAATTTATTTCCCATCTTCAACCCTCCCAACAGTGTTGTTTTCATTATCGTAATCATCATCTTCTGATTCACTCCCTGCACTATAAGAATAAGAATCATCAGAATTTTCTAAATACTTTTCATCTTCACTGATCTCCATTTCATCTTCTACCACTACAGATGTGTTTACCCCTGAACCAACAACCAAATCTCCTTTAGTTGCCATCTCTACTGCTTCAAGGGCTTCTAACAAAATATCATCGCTTATGTCCCACCCCCAGAACTGTCAATAACATCTGTACTCTGTGCATGCAATTGCTAACTGAGAGTTGGGAGGATTTCCCGTGTTATTGTCTTGAACTAAAGATAACAGTCCGACAAAGTATCCTACTTCCTCTATCGCCCTTGAATTACCTTCAGCCTCTACGATCCCTACAGATGAATCTCCAGCTTCTAACCCATTAGCGAAGCAACTGACAATCCTTCCAGCTTCAGGAGTAGGCCTGACTGTGACTCCTTCACCTTCTCTAAAACACATGAACAAGTTCACAGATTTATCATCAACGCTTAAAGATTTAAAGCTTCTAAACTGTCTATCACACCCAATCATTGTCGGACCCGGCTGAACACCAGCTACCAGAGCTAATTTGTCCTCAAACATGTAGCTAAGCTCCACTGATATCGAGCTCCTCTCCATTCTGTATAGTTGTCTCACTTTCAGCTCTAAATCCCTGAAAGTTTTTAACCCATCAACCACAACGCCCTCCCCTGCAAATAAAAATCCATCTTGAACTCCCATTCACCTGTGCTGAACAAAATCCATCTTCCAGCCTGTACGACAACAGTATCATCCACTGCAAATGAAATTCAATTTAGAATCAGTTTCTACCGAAGTACACTATGAAACATTAAGAGGCAATTAACAACTTAGTTTCTGATCTGAATTCTACCTTCCATGCTTTATTCTCTGAGCTGAATGTCCTCAGGAATAAAGAAACTCTTTCGAAACTGAAAATCATCTTCTGCTTTTAATCTTATAATGACTTTTTCATCAAAAACCCCAAAATAATTTTTTCGCCTAAAAATAGCTACTTTCGAAAAATATCTAAAGAAAATCTGACTATTATATCATTTTCCTCACCAACCTAGTAACTAATTTCGTAGACATTAACTTCTCATTAATGTTGTCGTTTCTCTTTGCTCCGTCTCCGCCATTGATGATTCGTGAATTACTTAATTTTTGAGATAATGTGTAATCATGTTTAAGGCCCAATTCTCACTATTCTAAGCCCATTAAGCTCAATTTGTTCCTATCACCCACATCTCAAATACATCAGCTCGCCTAGAGGCTTCCCTTTTCCTTGTAAAATGAAGGAAGTCCTCTCTCGTTATTTCCACCGCACGCTCCATACCCCACTTTATTTGCTATCACAGAAATCGTGTATCTCACGCACAGTGTAGACCCGACTAATTCTTTAATTATGAATAATATGTGTACTATTTTCCATATTAAGTTTCAAAAACGTATTATTTTACAACATATCTCTAAACTATTCCTGGTGAATTAGGGCATGCATATTTTGACACTACATTCTTATGTTTGTTACATGGTAGAAGTTTGAGAATTAGTCTGGGATCCCGTAAAACTTATCTGTTTGAGAATTAGTTTGGGATTTGAGACATTTTTCTAGTGTAAGAAAATACATTATTTACCGACAACACTACCAAAATAAGATAGTGTGCATGGAACGAAGGCCCCAGTTTTTATCAGATGTGGGTCACCACACAATCAAATTTTTCGACAAGCAATATCAGGTTCACTACCAAATCAATGATAGGATAATTATAAAAGTATATATTAAAGGTTCCTACTTATTCTTTCATTTTTTTTTTATAAACTGATAGTTGAGTATTGATCCTTGTAGACCCCTCTCTCCTCATCAACTGCTCTCGTATATTGTATGAATCATGCGTAAACGCGTTTTCAACACATCCATCCGTATTTATTTAATTGTAAGCTATATGACTCTCCCTTCTAGTTTGGATTTTTTTATATCTGGCGTTTACTTATAAGAAAATAAACAATTTATTGGATACAACACGAAACGTAAAACAAACATATAGACACAAAAACATATTAAAATAATAATAACTAGGGGAGGTCCCCGCGCCCAGCGCGGGGTTGTATGTTGATTGAGACCAGAATTAATAATTAATATTTAGGGTTATCAAGTTAGGGATATTTATTGAATTAATTTTGTCGAGAGTCTAATTTTTATAACGACATTAATATAGAATTATGGTAAAACGCTATAACTTTTGATATATATTATTAGTAATCAACAATTAATAGTGTTTTTGAATCACAAACAATTATTAGTGTTTATATCTTGATATATATAATAGAATTAAATATAAAAAATCTATATATTTAAACCAACAATATATTAGCAACGCCCCGACCGCCACTGTCTATGGATTCCCACGTCCAGTCTCGGTCTTTAGGCCCATCTTCTTTGTTTTGTCGTACTCTTGATTTTATGACATATTCATGCTTACTCGTTTCTTTCATATTAGCAACGCCCCGACCGCCACTGTCCGTGGGCTCCCCACGTCCAGTTTCGGTCTTTAGGCCCATCTTCTTTGTTTTGTCGTACTCTTGATTTTATGACATATTCATGCTTACTCGTTTGTTTCATATTTGTAATGCCACGACCGCCACTGTCTGTGGGTTCCCACGTCCAGTTTCGTTCTTTGAGCACATCTTCTTGGTTTTGTAGTACTCTTGGTTTTATGACATATTCACGCTTCCTCGTTTCTTTCATATTTGTAACGCTCCGACCGCCACTGTCTGTGGGTTCCCCATGTCCAGTTTCGGACTTTAATTTGGGCCCATCTTCCTGGTTTTTGTTGTATTCTTGATTTTATGACATATTCATGCTTTTAGATTGTATGTCACTGGAGTTTTTCGTAGTTGGAAACAAATAATTGAAAAATATAATCTCTTACCATATCTCTTACCTATCAAGTAAGTCATCTTGCTCTTTGAAGTAGTTATGTACGTAAAATTTCAATGGTATAGAAACAGGCATCTCCTTTGTATATATCGTGTCATATTTATCGTCCCTATTGTAGTATCTTTGTCTCTACCTTCGCCATTGGTCGCTGCGTAACCCTTCAGTTGATCTCTTGTTTATAAAACCCATATAAAAAGTTGTAAGAGAAATATCATTCTTAACTGTATCGTATATGTATTTGTAGTATATTGATCTGAGATTGCAAAGATGTATGCCTATCAAGAAGCTCTTAGCAAAGTAAACACTGAAGATAGGTACTAAAAATGAGAGGGTTACAGAGAGCAAGTATTTATCCATTAGAAACCACTATGTGCAACTGAGAATAATTCATATATGTACATACATACACATGTATACAACGTATTGAAGCTTTTAAATTTAAATATCGAATGCTACAAAACTGGAAAATTGCTTGTGGAGAAAGCAATATGAACATGGCCACATATATAACAAATAACCGATTATGCTTGTCGTTGATCATTCTCTTTCAAACCAAAAGTTTTACCTAAACAACATATCAAGTGACTCACAAGAGATACATAAGAGCCATATCCTAAAAATATCCGGCAAAGCAAAAACGCCCCAGGTTCGAGAAGGAAGTCATTGGAAAATTTGAGTATATACCAAACTGGAGAGTAATTCGGCTACAAAGAGAGATGTGTTGGCTTTGAAGAAAAAGCTATGTGATGCTCTACCTTTTATTTATGAATTTTATGCTATGAATATATGTTTTTGTTAGGGTTCAACTTCAGTCTCCGGATTAGAGACTTATATTCATCCGACAAACAATTCGATGTCACAATCAACACTACAAAATTGGTGGGTTCTCTCTATTAACAAACAAAAAAAAATTCTGGGATATATATAGCTGGCAAAGGAGCTAACCCAGCTCCTTTGGTCTTATTTATGGTCATATGTATTTAGCAAAATATGGTATACAAACCGAACTAATCAACAACAAAACCTGGTTTTAAATTGTTGTATATTTCTCAAAAGTCAAAACCCATAATAACCAATGGAACAGAAGAAGCTAATGCAGAGCATACTTACGCTTGGAGTAAAGAGTGATGCAAGCTTCCATTGGCACACCCGAAAACGCATCAGAGCATGGAAAGAAACCTAAAAACCAATAAATTAAACAATAATTAAATCTTAGTGCATGGAAAACGAATCCTATACATACCAAAGTCCGAATCTCAGTGCCTTAGAATGACCTCGATACCAAAAACTTTAAGTTACTACTTCCATATATGTAATATTTTAGTTTGGGGAGAGAGATTGGCAACGAAGAGTAATTCCTGAATTTAA